GCTTGGTTCCCTGTTCTTCTCTGGGATATGTGATTTATGAGCCATTAGTACACTGATAATGTACTTACTAGCTTTAATGAATAGAGGCTTTGGTAGCATATACCTGTAAACCCAGCACTCAGGAAGTAGTCTGCTGGAGCAAGAAGTGGGTGCTAGCGTAGGTTATGGAGTAAAACGCCGACTCAAAACAAAACCCAAAACAACTTCTGGTACCCAGGAGAGTTGGAGAAAGCTTTGTCATCATACATTGAGTGTGCCTTGTGCCACAGACACATTCTTCCCCCGTGTTTTTGCAAGGTTCTATTGCCTCAGACTGCCTGGAAACCATCTTTGTTGAATATTGGTAGTCTTCAGCTAGGCTCCACAGAGGTGGCTTGCTTTCACTGTGGTGTTTTTGTGTGATTGCCTATGGAGGTCTTTAGCTTTCTGCTTACTACTGTAGCAGTGGTCTGTGGAATAAGAGTGAGCTGGTGCAGGCACTTACGAACACACAGCCTTCTCAATAGCCTTTTTAAAAGGTGGGTACTACTGTTCTATACCTGTTTTCATGGGTATAGAAACTGAGATGCAAACAGGTTAGGTACCTTGCCTTGAAGTCACATTGTAAATATTAGAAACCAGGATGTAATCTAGCCTGAACATTTTAAAATTCCAAGTTTTGTTTTTGAGATGGGGGCTTGATAGCCTTAAACTCTTGGGCTCAGGTGATCCTCCTGTCTCAGCCTCTTGAGCAGTAGTTCTCAATCTATGGGCCTTGACTCCTTTGGGAATCAAATGACCCTTTCACAAGGTTGCATATCAGATATTTACAATCATAATAGTAGCAAAATTATGAAGTAGCGATGAAAATAATTTTATGGTTGGGGTCACCACAATAGGAGGAACTGTATTACAGGGTCACAACATTAGGAAGGTTGAGAAGCCCTGCTCTTGAGTATCTGAGACTACAGGTGCATGCCACTATGCCATTCTCAAATCTTGAACTCTAATCAACTGTGTTGCATTGCCCTTTATGTTCAAATCTGATTAGGACAGGTTTCTAATTTTGAGATGAGTCTAGTGAACTTCAGAGAAAATGAAGATAGCTCTCATGCCAGTTGTTCCATAACCAGAGATAACATTCTAAATCATTAGAGAAAAATGAGGATTAGTATATGGCAAGATGTGAATACCGACTCACTTATTCAGCTACATATTTATTCATTGAACAAACTGAACAGCTACTGTTTGTCTCTGTATTACTAAGTGCTGGAGAGAGTGATGAGAATCAGACTTATTTTTTTTGTTTTTCGAGACAGGGTTTCTCTGTGTAGCTTTGGAGCCTATCCTGGCACTCGCTCTGGAGATCAGGCTGGCCTCAAACTCACAGAGATCCACCTGCCTCTGCCTCCTAAGTGCTGGAATTAAAGGCGTGTGCCACCAACGCCTGGCAAGAATCAGACTTTAATCATATACACACAAGATCCTCATAGCTACAGTAAAGATGAGGAACCTGGCTCTACTTGGGGGATGCCATTGTTGACTGGAGCAGGAAAGAGGACTTAAGGAAGACGTGTTGGCTGAGGTCTGAAGAATGGGTGACTTGGCCAGGGCAGGGGAAGGGAGGGCATTACCTCATATGATGGGAATGTGTGTGGCAGAGCTGATCGATCTTTCAGTACAGCTGGAACCAAGGAGAGCAACGCCTGTGTGCAGCATTAGTCAGTCCATGATTTGAAAAGATTGCCCGAGGCTCTGCAGAGAACCAAGCCACAATGAGCAGGTGAGGTACAGCAAAGATGGTTCTGTCACAGCTCAGGTGGCTAATGGTTCTTTTCTCTACCTGGATAGAGGCCTCTGACAGGCAGGGAAGCCCTTCCAGTGCTGGTATCCGGCAGCTTTAGCTTCTGGCAGTGTTTGGTAGAAGTAGTCAAGTGGCATTCTCTAGTATGACGTCCTTCAGGCTTCAGGTATCAGAACTCTTGGCCCTTGGCAGTGGATGTAGCTACATCTCCCAACCTAGGGGCTGAGAGATCTTTAGCTCTGAAGACGTGACAACTCCCTGGACCTCTTCTGTCAGCAAGACCCTGCAGGTTCTCCTCTCTTGCCCTTTACAGCCTGTATTCTTCATTTCAGCTTTCTATTCTCTCGTTATTTCTTTTTCTGCCTTTCTTTTTTCTTCCCTGGCCATTCTTGATCTGTTTGGCTGCCCCAGCTTGGCCTCTGCTGGGACCGTTCAGGGTGCCTGCTTCCAGTGATACCGTTTGGGAAGCTTGTAGAGGCTACTCAGGAAGACAACTTTCAGGAGTCTGTCTTCTCCTTCCACCACCATGCAGGACCCAAGGATGGAGATCAAGTCATTATGCTTGGCAGCATGTGCCTTTACCTTCCAGGCCATCTCACCAGTCACAGAAATCCCTAAAGTAACAGTGGGAGTTCTCGAGCCGGGCATTGGTGGCGCACGCCTTTAATCTCAGCACTTGGGAGGCAGAGGCAGGCGGATCTCTGTGAGTTCGAGGCCAGCTTGGTCTCCAGAGCGAGTGCCAGGATAGGCTCCAAAGCTACACAGAGAAACCCTGTCTCGAAAAACCAAAACTCAAACCAAACCAAACCAAACAGACAAACAAACAAAAAAACAGTGGGAGTTCTCCCCTTCTGGCCAAAGTGGAAATGGCTGCAGGGTGGTTTAGAGTTCACCAAGGCTTATGGAAACAAAAAGTCTGGCACAAGTTGTTTTAAACAGCCCTGAGGTTGCCCCATCAGGAGCCAGAGTGATCAGCTGCAGTCATCCTATAGTTTTCATTGACGGAGTCACTGTCCAGCCTGGTCCCGCTGCCCTTCAATCCCAAATAAATACACAGAGACTTATGTTAATTATAAACTGTTTGGCCGATGGCTCAGGCTTCTTTTTGGCTATCTCTCTCTTAGCTATTAACCCATTTCTATTAAACTATGTATTGCCACAAGGCTGTGACTTACCTGTAATGCTCTGACATTTTACTCCTTCGGTGGCTACATGGTGTCTCTCTGGTGACTCACTCTCTCTTCCTCAGCATTCCTAGTCTGGTAGCCCCACCTATACTTCCTGCCTGTCTACTAGCCAATCAGTATTTATTCACCAACCAATAAGAGAAACATATATCACAGCATACAGAAGGACATCCCTCATCAAGGTATCTGTAGATTGTTCAGGACAATCTGGTTATCTGTCAGTCCCATTCATTCTTTTGTTTAAGACATTCATAGGATCAAGGCAGAGTCCGAGAGCTGCTAATTAGGGCTTCAGATATCCCCATACCCCAATGTGTGCTTATTTAATTACACAATGGATGCAGAAGGGATGCTTAAAATATGCATTTAAAGACTTGTTCATTAACTAATAGTGGTAACTGATTTTAATAGCCCTTAATGCTGCTCAGTGCCCCCGGGCATGGGGAAGTCCCCTCATCTGTAACAAGTAGAGACCAGTTTGGTTATTTTTAAATTTATTTATTGTGTTTTATGTTTGAGAGTGTTTTGTTTGCATGTATGTATGTGTGCCCAGTGTCCTGGGAGGTCAGAAGTGTCATAGGATCCTCTGGAACTGGAGTTATGGATGGTAGTGAGCCACCATGTGAGTGCTGGGAACTGAACCCAGGTCTTCTGCAAGAGCAACAAGTAATTAACAGCTGAGCCATCTCTCCAGCTCCTGGAGACTACTTTTAGCAGTAGACTTTTTCTAGTCCTGGGGAGAGATTCAGATAGCTTGTGGTAGGTGGGTGACAGCAGAGAAAGCAGGAAATACATGCATTTGAGAATTTTTAGGGGCAAGGTGAGCAGCATGCTGGTGGATTATGTATATCGGCAAGGGAGAAAGTGGTGTCAAGTGTAACTCAGGTTTTAGACTACAGAACCAGACAGGTGATGGACCCGATGGCTGTGATGGGAAAAACTGTTGGGGGAGATATAATTATGCTCTTGGGAATTATTTTGTGGGATTCTCTCTATAAACAGATGAGCACTGCTGAGCCTCCTTAAGGCTTAGGGTCTAAGAAGTTTTATACAAATATATAGCAATACAAATCTAAATAATTCATTCAATATTTTATATATAAAATTATGCCAGCTAAAGTATATGCCTTTACATTTCTAGTTAATAAATGAATTTTACTTCAGTATATCTATTTTCTTTTTATGAAGCAAAGTTAGAATTTATTAAGTATATTTGTTTTCTAGAATTTTGATATCAACTGCTGTAGCCTGGCAATTGCAAAGCCTTTACTCTTTGTTTTGGCAGTACATGGGATTGAACCCAAAGCTTCATTCCAACTCTTGCAGTCTATCACAGAAAAACACCCCACAGCCCTTGGTACTTAAATGTTAAGTTGCTCTGTATTAAGTACTGAATACTTATTAAAAGAATTCAGCATATTTCTATAGTGAGTAATCTGATTTAACTAAGAATTATATCTGAACCAGAGTGTCTCTAATTTGGCCATAGTGTTTGTATTAATATTTCATTTTAGTGTTTGTATTAATATTTTAGTTTAAAAGCCACATTAGGGAACTGGGGAGATGGCTCATCCATTAAGATTATGTACTGTTCTTGCGGAAGACCTGGGTTGGAATCCTAGTACCCGCTTCAAGCAGCTCACAACTGCCTGTAACTCCAGCTCCAGGAGAAATTGGATTACTCTGACTTTTTTGAGTACCTACGTTCATGCAGTGCACATACCGCCACCCCCCAATTTAAAATAAAAGTAAATCTTAAAAATTAGCTGGATGAATGAAATGGTAGATGCCTATTATTCCAGTACTAGGGTTGTGGAAGCAGGAGGATCAGAAGTTGAAGCTCTACTTGGTTACATAGGGAATTCAAGTGTAGCCCAGGCTACGTGATACCCAGTTATAGGCAAACCTAAAACTTAAATAACTTATAACTTAAATTTTGATTGAATCACTAATAATATTGATTTTCTTAAAGTGTAGGCATTTGGGGGAGAACAGCCAGGACACTAATTTTTCAAGTTTGCTATGCAGGATTGCCTGAGCTATCCTCTGCTGCAAAACATACAGACCGTCTTTTTAGAGATTTATTTGAAGACTATGAGAGGTGGGTTCGTCCTGTGGAGCACCTGAGTGACAAAATAAAAATCAAGTTTGGCCTTGCAATATCTCAGTTAGTGGATGTGGTAAGTATGCATGCCATTACATGTTCCATTTCACACCCATTTCCCCAAACGTATGTCAGGCACCAGAGGTTACCAAGGTGAATAAACATAGCCCTTTGCCTCAAGGAGCTCTCCAGGGAACAAAGACTAGTATGCCACAGGCATAGCAATGCTCTGTTTATGTGTTGTTGTGTAGTTTAGAAATTGTTTTATCTCATTTGCTAATACTAGGTCTATTCTTAATTGGATTCAAAGATATTAAAACATCTTCCTTCCTTCCTTCCTTCCTTCCTTCCTTCCTTCCTTCCTCTCTCTCTCTCTCTCTCTCTCTCTCTCTCTCTCTCTCCCTCTTCTCTCCCCACCACCCCGTCTCTCTCTGTCTCTGTCTTTTGGTTTTTTGAGACAGGGTTTCTCTGTGTAACAGTCCCGGCTGACCTGGAACTCACTCTGTAGACCAGGCTGGCCTTGAACTCATAGTGCTGGGATTAAAGGCATGCACCAACACCATCTGGCTAACATTTTAAATTGAAGTTCCCCCCATGAATGGATGTAAGCATTCACTGGAAAGTTTGTGTAATAGTTCAAGAGTAGAGTCATAGATTATAAGGACCAGGATTATCTCAAGATGACACTTCAGATTTAATTGGGCTGGAGAGTGGGCTCAGTGGTTAAGAGCTCTGGCTGCTCTTGCAGAGTACCCATGTTGGCTTCCCAGCACCCACATGGTGTTTATTCACAACCATTGATAACTCCAGTTTCAGAAGATCTGATGCCCTCTTTTGACCACCACAGGTACCAGACACACACATAATACAAATACATACATGCAGGCAAAACAACACTTACACACATAAATAAAAATTCTTTTTCAGAGTTTTCTGTGTGTCATTCACCAGAATTTCTTCCTTTCTTTTTTGTGTTTTTTTGTTTGTTTGTTTGTTTGCTTGCTTTATTTTCAAGACAGGGTTTCTCCATGTAGTTCTGCTGTCCTGGAACTTACTCTGTAGACCAGGCTGGCCTCAAACTCACAGAGAATCTGTCTGTGCCTTTCAAGGGCTGGGATTAAAGGTGTGCACCACCAATGCCCTGCATCTTTGTGTCTGCTTTACAAACTTGGAATGTGTGGGCCTTTTTAAATTTTGTCTTATTTTTTAGATTTATTTTGTGTGTATGAGTGCTTGGCCTGCATTTCTGTCTGCGCACCTCGTGCATGGCTGGTGCCTAAGGAAGTGGTGAGCCTCCATGTTGGTGCTGGGAATCAAACCTGGGTCCTTTGCAAGAACAACAAGTGCTCTTAACCACTGAGCCAACTCTCTCCAACCCCTGGAATGTGTTTTTGATACAATTTAGCTGACTGATTTTTCTCCCTAGCTACATTAAAAATTCTCATATAATTTATTTGTATTTCTTTGGCAGAAAATTGTCTAGTTTTCTTCTAATGATGATATGTTTGTACACAAATGTCTGAATTCCTCCCTCCTTTAAGAAAGGCAAGTTGAGTACACAGCACATACCTTCACACCTGTTAGAGTGAAGTGAATAATGTTGTACTCTTAGCTTAGATGCTTTTAAATTTGAGGAAATATAGTAGTTGAGACAGACCATGCTTTAGGGTAGTTTACCCAAATTACAGAATGTTTTCAGGAATGGTATGAGATTTATGGTGTTTACTAGAGAATCAGATTAATCAGCAGAGTGTTCCTTCTATATGGAGAGGAGCATTTGTATTGAAATGTACATTTTTTTAAAGCTTAAGGACCACATTATTAGAAAGAAAACAAGGCAGGCAGGCAGGCTGGAATCTCAGCAGGTACAGCAAGGAGGGAGAGGGAGACTAAAGCCACTCCTTTTGAGTTAAGGTCAGCAGTGGCAGACTTCAAGCAGCTATAAAGAAAGTGGGCAGGGTCTTCAGAAAAACTGAGGAAGTTGGAGTGTCAGAGAAAGCACCCCTGGGGTTTTGGCTAATATTCAAAGAAGAACTAGAAAGGGGCAAAGTAGTTACCCTTTTTTGAGTTATATCTTGGCCTTAGCAGTGACAGGCAGTCAGCAACTGTCACAGTGTACAAACTCTTAAAGAGTTACTGCTGTATAACAGAAAGAACCAACCTTCTTTTTTTTTTTTTTTTTAAATAGGATGAGAAAAACCAGCTAATGACAACAAACGTCTGGTTGAAACAGGTGTGTATACTGTTCAAATATACTAATAGCTGGGCACCACTCTTTATTATAGGCCCTACAGTAAAAAGGAACCTGAGTATGGACTGTGAGGACTGTCAGGCTGCACAGATGAGAATAGGTGGAGTTATTGTGTTCATTATACATGCATGTATGTATATGTCTATATTTGTTTTGAACCATGTGTATGTATGTATGTATGTATGTATGTATGTATCTGTATTTGTTTTGAACAAGGGTTCTGTTATGTAACCAGGGCTGACCTTAACTTCTTCAATCTCCCATCTTCATCCTCCCAAGCTCTGGAATCACAGAGGGATGCCACTATGCCTGGCTTTAGTTGGTGTTTTTTGTGGGTCTGTATGTGCTAGGCACTGGGGAAACCGCAATGAATAGAACAGACAAAACTCATTCTCCAGGAACTTTGCTCTAAAGGGAAGAGAATGAGTGGCTATGTTTCATAGTACCTTAGAGACTGACAGTCTGAGAGAGGACCACAGTGGGAAAGGGAATGGGGAGAGTGTTGCGGTCTGAATTTGTAAGTGAAAAAAACCAACCGAACAAACAAACCGTAGAAACATGACTGAAAAGGCCAAGTTCATACAAAGTCTCAGGGGAAATGAAGCAAGCCTATGGATACCTAAGGGACAAGTGTGATCTGGGTAGAGGACCAGCAAGTAAAAGGTCCAGAGGCTGGATTGCATCTAGTAAGGAAACCGGTGTGGCTAAAGGTGTGTGAGCCATAGGGATGGGTATGGAGATGGTGTCAAAGGAGCAATGAGAAGCCAGTGGAATAGTAGCTTATAGGACCCTGCAAGGATTTGTACTTTTACTTCTTCTTTTTTAGTTATTTTAAAAGAGATTTGTTTTGTGTATGAGTGTTTAGTTTGCATGCATATAAATACACATGTACATGAAGAGCCCAAGGAGGCCAGAAGAAGGCACTGCATCCCCAGGAACTGGCGTTACAGAGGGTTGTAAGCTGCCATGAGGATGCTGAGAACTGAACCCTGGTCTAGTAAAGCTTCAAATGCTCTTAACCACTGAGCCATCTGTCTAGCCCCAGGAGTTTGGCTTTTAGTTTGAGTGCAACAGGAATGCAACTAGTTATTGTTTATAATTATTAACTTGCTAACTGTACACATCATTGGGATTCGCTGATATGTTCATCCATACACACACCATGCATTAACCATGTCCCCCCATGCGTATGTTATCACCCTCCTCTTTCAGTGTCCCTCACATTCCCTAGTGATCTCTCTGTAATGAATTATTTTAATGTACAAAGGGCCTTTTAATTCTGGACCACCAGCTGCTGTTGAGTATTTCCCGTTGTTTACTCTTCTGTCTCTGATTATTTATACCTGCCTAGTAGAGAACCATGAATACATCAGCATGGGTCCTCGCCTGCGCCTCATCAGGACCCAGCTGGAGTCACTGCACAGAGGGGCCGGGTATTATTAGTTGAGAATTTTCTGAATTAGGGGCAGAAATGATTCATGTCTAAATGTTCTGGGTATGGCAAAAGTATAGTTTTAAATTATTGTTTATTGACTGAAATGGAGGTGAATTTCTCATTTTAAAGGAATGGATAGATGTAAAATTAAGATGGAATCCTGATGACTATGGTGGAATAAAAATGATACGTGTCCCTTCAGACTCTCTATGGATCCCAGACATCGTTTTGTTTGATAAGTAAGTTATATTCTGAATATTACTTTCAAAGTTTCCAAAAGAAAAATTGTATCACTACTAAGCACTAGTAATTTTGTTCTCTCATCTGCAAATTGTTTAGCTAGCAAATCAAATGACTTGAATTTGTGCTTATTTGTGTCACGGGTGCTATGGATCCTTTGTCTTTTTTTTTGGTGTGTGTTTTTTGTTTTAATCATAAAAGTGTTGTCTGATTTCTGAATTAAGAAAAAAGGACTTGGCAAACAGAAAGGAATAAGGAAGAGTGGGGAGAGAGGTCACGCTTGTGATTAACTTACATGTGCAGGAAACTTATATGGGCGTGGCAGTGTGTTCACTGCAGGGGGTGCCACCCATCTTACATGGACCTAAGGTGGTTACACTTTGCTACAATCACAGAGCTCTCATGTGGCAGAGTAAGGTTTCACCCCAAGACACTGTGACATCCCCACTTATCTCCTTATTCAAGTCAGACTTCCACGTTTGGGGGTACTTGTTTTTTAGTTGAGGTTACAATTTATGTTCAACACTGTTTTCTAATATTTCCTAAGTATGTGGTCATGACAACACAATATTGCCATTTTTCCATGGTGAAGAGTTTAGGGTTAATTTTTAACACATGTATGGACAGCCTATCTCAGTGTGTTTTGAGTGTAATTGTTGGTACCAGCTGCATTTTCCCTACCCAGGGCTATCTCAGACTAAATGTGAAAGTTTGCATTATGCCAAGCACCCTCTCTTATTTGCACAATGGCTTTTAAGCAAATGCTATGCAAAAAACGATCTTTTGAAACCTTTTACTCTGTGTTCCTCCATATGAAAGCTTTTAAGGTGGTAACACGCGGCAGCTCCCTTCACATCACCTTCCTCTCAGTAACTGAAAGCACTCTGTCCTATTTGCAAAAAGGCTTTGGCATAAGGACAGAGCAAATGCTGTGCAAAAATGATCTTTCAAAACTCTTTACATCCGTGTTCCTCAATATGGAAGGATAAAGAAAGCTTATAAGGTAGCACGGGCCAGCTTCCTGAGAGCATTGGCTGCTCTCTGTAATTGAAAACATTTTATACTAAACATAGATAGATTATGCAGTACTGTGCAAAAAACCACATGAACCTCAAGATACAGAACAGGACTGCTGTGAGGGAAGCCAGTGCTGGGGCTTCTTCCTGTAGCTGTGCCTCTGTAGCCCAGGAGGGTCCAGGTATGCCTTGCCTGGTGCAACTTTTCCTCTTAGGGTAGAAAGCATCTGTTATTTAGGTGGAGGAAGACGTCTGGGGATATAGTTTCAGGCTTTGCCTCTCTGCATGCACAGTATATAAACAGCCTGATTCTATATGTATGCCAAGTGAGGTTTTTTTCAGCTATAAAATCTCAACATTTTGAGAAACATGGATTTGGCTATCTCACAATACAAAGGGGAGAGTAGGTTCAGTTCCAGAAGAATCATACTCATCAGGAAGATGTCTAGAGAGCATGGCCCCATGGGATGAGCAGGCATTTGGGCAGATAGTAATTTCAAACTTACTTCATGCTATTACCTGCGGGTTCCTTTTATATTAGACTTATAAAATGTGTGCTTGGGTTGTTTCATTTCGACACCATTATTGTGTGTGTGTGTTTTTGTTTTTGTTTTTTAGTGCAGATGGACGTTTTGAAGGGGCCACTACGAAAACAATTGTCAGGTACAATGGCACCGTCACTTGGACACAACCAGCAAACTACAAAAGTTCTTGTACTATAGATGTCACATTTTTCCCATTTGATCTCCAAAATTGTTCCATGAAATTTGGCTCTTGGACATACGATGGATCCCAGGTTGATATAATCCTAGAGGACCAAGATGTAGACAGAACAGACTTTTTTGACAATGGAGAATGGGAAATCATGAGTGCAATGGGGAGCAAAGGAAACAGAACTGACAGCTGCTGCTGGTACCCATACATCACGTACTCCTTTGTCATTAAGCGGCTGCCTCTCTTTTATACCTTATTTCTTATTATACCCTGCATCGGGCTCTCATTTCTGACTGTGGTTGTCTTCTATCTCCCTTCAAATGAAGGTGAAAAGATCAGCCTGTGCACTTCAGTACTTGTCTCTCTGACTGTCTTCCTTCTGGTTATTGAAGAGATCATACCCTCATCTTCCAAAGTCATACCTCTGATTGGAGAGTACTTGGTGTTTACCATGATTTTCGTGACACTATCCATTATGGTGACTGTCTTTGCCATCAACATCCACCATCGCTCTTCCTCAACGCACAATGCTATGGCCCCTTGGGTTCGTAAGATATTTCTCCACAAGCTTCCCAAACTGCTTTGCATGAGAAGTCATGTAGATAGGTACTTCACTCAGAGAGAAGAAACTGAGGATGGTGGCGGACCTAAGTCTAGGAACACTTTGGAGGCTGCGCTCGATTGTATCCGCTACATCACGAGGCATGTCATGAAGGAGAATGATGTCCGTGAGGTCTGTGGCGAGTATTGAATTTGTTTCCATGCAAATCCCTGCAAAATGGGGCATCTACACAAATCCAACCTTTGCATTTCTCCAAAGCATCTTGAATGACTCTGAAGAAAATTTAGCAGTATGCGTTTGAAGAGATAATAATAATATTGCCGTAGTTTTGGACTCCAGAATGATTTACTGATTTAGGTTTATCTTTAGTAACTCTGTTTCTGAATTTTGGCATTATAATTTATCAAAAGTTAATTTTTTGAAGAGTTAGCCTAAGGTAGGCTTTGTAAGTGCAGCCAAGATACTTTTCTAGAGAAACATCTTTTTGTGGCTCAGTTACAAAAGAATATTAGTAAAATTGAAAGGAACAAGGTGCATACATATAATCCTGCCATTTAGGGGCTGAGGCAGGAGGATTGAGAAAGTGTCTCTTGGGCCACTTGTCAAGTTCAAGGTCAGCCTGGACTACATAGGGAGAATAGTCTCATAAAAGCAAAATGACATAAAACATAAAAATAAAGAAAAGCAGTTAGGTGTTGTCATGTGTTATGTTTATACATTAAGGTTTTCATGTGAAGGAGTAGTACCTAATGTGCTTAAAACAAAATTTGTTTAAAGCCTTACAGAAAAGTTTGGTTGACTTGTAAAGGTTAATTGATATTTGAAATGCAAATATTGGACATGTGTTTTATCAATTGATAGTGTTGGACTGTTTTTTTTTCAAAAATTCAAATTTTCAATTGTATTTTTCCTTATTTCTATTGTATAATAGTTTTAAAGTTATGACTATTAATATTTTATAACTGAATTTACACTTAATGGTCTCATTAAGGCTATGCAAATTCTACCTTATATTAATCATTTTTTCAGATTTATTTATTTCATCTTATGTGTTTGAATGTTTTGCCTGTCTGTGTGTATGTGCATCCCATGTGTACTGGGGCCTGAGGAAGTCTGAAGAGGGCTTCGGAGCCCTAGAACTGGACTTATGGATGGTCGTGAGCTGTTGTGTGGGCTCTGGGAACTGAACCCTGGTCTATAAGTGTTCCTAACTGCTGAGTCATCGCTCTAGCTCCAAGATTCTAGTTTCTAAAGTTTTTAAATGGGGAGCATTTTCTATCAGGTGTGAGTAGTAGATGAAATTAATCTGATAAAATAACTGGTTTTTACTACTGTTCTTACTAGGGTCTGAACTCAGGATTGCCTCTCTCTCTCTTTCTCTCTCTCTCTGTCTTCTCCCTGAGCTTCCCTTGCCCTAACAGCCTTTGTTCCCTCCCTCCATCCTTTTCTCTCTTCCTTCTTTCTTTTCTCCCTCCTCTCCCTCCCTCCCCTCCTCCTTTCTTCCTTCCTGTTTTTTGAGACAAGTTGTCTGGCTAGCCTGGGACTTGCTGTGTAGACCAGGCTGGCTTCAAACTCACAGAAACCACCTTTTGGGATTAAAGGTGTGTACCGCCTTGATGACCGCGTCCCCTACCCCCACCTCCACCCCCCACACTCTTTTAAGACAGGGTTTCACTGTGTAGCTCAGGTTAGCCTTGAATCCTTTTACTTCGGCCTGCTGAATGCTGGGATTACAGCAAACACCACAATGTCTGGGTTACAACTATGAATCAACTTTTTGTTTCTGTTTTGAGATGTGATCCCACTCTGTTGTTCAGGCCTTGAACTTCAGATCCCCCTGCTTCAGTCTTTAAGTAGCTGGTACCACATGCATGGGCCACGATACCCTAGTTTACTTCTAACAAACGAATGCTTGTTGATTGTAGTATATGGTGGTAGTGTAATTAAAATTATCATTATAAGGGTTGAAGCTATTAGTGGAATATTAAAAGGTAAGAATATTTATTAGCTAATGATTTACACGAGTTGAATTTAATACATTATACTAGTCTATCTTAGAGACCTGGGCACAGGATCACTTAACACTTTGGAGACACCAAATGATTATCTTCTGATTCATTTTTATCTTAAAGTATGTCTACGGCTTTGATATTTGTAACTAATGTTTGTTTGTTTGTTTTTTAACAGGTTGTTGAAGATTGGAAATTCATAGCGCAAGTTCTTGATCGGATGTTCCTGTGGACTTTTCTTCTGGTTTCAGTCATTGGGACGCTAGGGCTTTTTGTTCCTGTTATTTATAAATGGGCCAATATAGTAGTCCCAGTTCACATCGGAAATACAGTTAAGTGAAATCAAGCAATTACTATGAATTTAGTTAGCAACTGTGCGTCTCTTAGGACATGTATACAGTTAAGAAAATGTGAAATTATTTGCGATTTGATGTAGGCTGTAACAGATTAGTAATTTCTAACTTGGCTTAATGTTGTCCGTTAGAACTGAAGAGATAACTCCAACAGAACATTGTCCAGCTGCACTGGTGAGAGCCTACTAACTTGGAATCAGTGATGAAGTTCATCTTGGAGTGCTGGAAAATGCAGTTGTATTTGAAGACCATTTAAAACTTTTACCAAAGCTACTGAAGACATATATTTGTGTGGTTTTAGATTTTCAGATGCCCAGACTGGCCCCACACTCCTGGACTCAAGTGACCCTTCTGTCTCAGCCTCCTGAGTAGCTGGGATTACCGGTGTGTTCCAACAGGACCAGCTATTATATATAGTTTAAAATGTTCTCTGTCCTGTATTTATGGATGTGCAATAATCATACTTCTATATGAAGTAAGCCAATTACTTGGTTTAGTAATTACTTAATGTCATAGTTAACGTTCTATTGCTGTGAAGAGACACTGTGACCACAGCAACTTTGTTCTAAGATTGATTGATTGATTTGATGTATATGAGTACTTTTTGGCATGTACCACTTTATGCCAAAAGAGAGCATCAGATCCCACTGTAGATGGTTGTGAGCCACCATGTGGTTGCTGGGAATTGGATTCAGGGCCTCTAGCAGAGCAACCAGTGCTCTTAACTGATGAGCCATCTCTCCAGCCCTGACAGCAACTCTTTATAAAGAAAAACATTGAATTGGGGCTGGTTTACAGCTCAGAGATTTACTCCATTATCATCACGGCGGGAAGCATGGCAGCATGCAGGTAGACATGGTGCTGGAGAAGGAGCTCAGAGTTCTATATCTGGATCAGCTGGCATTAAGAGTGAGCTACTGGGCCTAGCTGAGCTTCTGAAACCTCAGAGCCTACGTCCAGTGACACACTTCCTCCAACAGGGCCACACCTCCCAATAGTGCCACTCCCTAGTGATCAAACATTTGAATCTATAAGTCTATGGGAGATATTACTAATCAAAACACCATACTTAATATGATGCGATTCTTTTTTTGTTTTGTTTTTTTCAAGACAGGGTTTTTCTGTGTAAGAGCTCTGGCTGTCCTGGAACTTGCTTTGTTGACCAGGCTGGCCTTGAACTCACAGAGATCCGCCTGCCTCTACTTTCCTCCCAAGTTCTGGTAGTAAAAATGGGCACCACCACTGCCTGGCTCTTTACCAAGTTTTTTTTTTTTTTAATAAGCAAAAAATGGTGACTAAAAACTCCTTAAGCCCATTTTATTCTTTAGATGCTTATATGGAATGGCTTTTGTGTTAAGTAATTTTACAGCTATCTTCCATTTTAAACATACAACCTGTAACCCCTGCAGATGTACAATGGCATATCCTTCGTAATGACTTCAGTCCCCTTAGCCACATTCTTTGGTTAATTAGAGCTATTTAGGTACATAGTTTATCCCCGACCTCAGAATAAGGCACTGCAGTTACATAGATCCCATCTCAAAATGGGATGATGGCATGTCTCTGTTTTGATAATTCTGTGGAAGAACAATCTTCCAAGCTTAAAGGTGTATTCTGAGCTGGATACAGTGTCTCATACCTGTCATCTGTACTTTCAGAAGGCAGAGGCAGGGGAATTGCTGTGAGTTCTAGGTCAGCCTGGGTTACATTATGAGATACTGTCTCAAAAGTTAACCAAACAAAAATTGCTCTTCTGAGTTGAGGTAAGTACATTGTCATATCTTATAATGTTTCAAATACCTTTCACCTCAACAATTATAATCATAAAATCTTAGAGCTAAAAATGCTTTAGATATAATCTCATTTTAAGCCTATTACCAGGTATGACATCAGTCAGTACAGTATACTGTATCATGATTAAGTTCATCCAAAGTGGCCCAACTCACCTAGAACCCAAATCCTTGTATTTGATCTAGAACTCTTAGCTGTTGAGTTAGCAAAAATCCTCATTTATTGATAATATATGAACTGCTTAAATTCAAGTAAGCGCTCTCTAGAGGGCAGGACGAACCCTGTCGAGTTTGCATTTTCTAATATGAGAGTGAGTGAAAGCCTGACCTCTAGTTTAGATAGATGTCCCCAGGCTCATCTGTTGAAAGCTTGGTCATGGTGCTTTTGGGAGGCCATGGGATCTTCAGGAGTAGGCTCTAGCAGAAGGATGTTAGGGTTCTAGGGTGGATCCTTGAGAAGGGTATTGGGAACCTATCCCTTCCTTTTGCTTCTCAGCCACCATGAGGTGGACAGTGTTGCTCCTCTGTGTGTTCCCCAGCATTATACACTGTTGCCTCTGACCTCAAAGCAGTGGCTACCCAGTCATGGCCTCTGAAGCCATGAGCTACAGCTGAGTTTTCTCTTGGTTATCTCAAGTAATTTACTGTAGAATAGACAGCTAATAGGATATTAGTACCCCACAGTGGAATCTGTTGTGTGACTTTTCCTGGGGAGTCTACTTCTAATCACCTGGGAATAGAACAAAGAAACAATTCTGCCTGAATCCAGCTTGGAGAACCAATGAGTTTACTGTTTTCTACTCATAGGAATGTGGGGGAGGGGTTTCTTACAGGACCATAGGTGACCTGGGAGGCTGCATCATGGAAATCCCACCCTAGCCTGGGTAGCAGCTAATAAAAGCTGTATTGCTGGGGTTCCCTGTGCAACTTACAGGTAACAACAGTGGGAAGCTTCCTCTTCCCAGGCAATTGTTTGCTGTTTTTATAAACCTGGGAATGAGCCTTGGAGTCTGCTAAGTCTTTTGTGAGTTTCATAAATTGGGTGAGTGTCTTATCGCCTCTCCAGAAGGGAATGTTTCAATTTGATTGAGAAAGCCACACAACAGGATAGTTACTGTGACCACAACTGATGGTGTAGCTCTGAAGTCTTTGAAATTGATTTGTAGAAGGAATCTGGAAAAGTGTGAAGAACCAGGTTAGAGAAAGCCTAGGATGTGTAAATATGCGTTAACAGGAGCTTCTGTGAGGAATCAAGGCCAGACATCCCAGGCTACTACCAATGCTGTGGTCACCCTCTAGAACTTGAGGGCAAGACCCTATTTCTGAAGCACCACATACTTGAGTCATAGATCGTGCAAAAATCAGGCTGGTGCCCACTTGGAAACTTCATCCTTACTGTCTAGATTTCATAGTGCCGGAAGGTGCTAAGCAGGGGAGAAAAGTTAGTTGTCGGTCTTAGCTGGCTGTGAGCCTAATGAGCTACAATAATGAGTGTAAGACACATCCTCTGGCCCAGGAGTATACAAACATCATGGGAGTATCCAACCCCTTTTGACTGAATTTAAATTTTGCTCCACAAGATAAAACCGATACCTGCCATTACCGGCAGACCAAGACTATAGTAGACAGGTCATAGGCAGGTCATAGGCTCTAGCGAAGAACCTATTACGATGACTCTGCTATATGGACATAATAGTAAACTGACACCTAACTACTCATCCTTATACCCATAGATTAACGTATCTCTCAGCTCTTATCAAGGAAGCTTCTATGTGTGGTAGATGGTGATTAACACTTGGCCATGGTGTAGAGAATAAGAGACTGTAGACTGCTCTGGTCTAAGTGGGCCCATGGCTTGGGATCACTTCAGAAGAGGGGTGGAAAAAGTGGAAGATCCAGAGAATGACAACAAGGAAAGTTTCTCCTGAAGGCAGCAGGCAGCTGCATGTATGAGCTCACAGCATTTATGCTAGCATGCACAAGACCTGTGCAAGTCCAAGACACATCAAATCTAATTATGAAAAGGGATAAAGAGCATGAAGTCCCTCCCACTTGTAGCTGAGTTACTGTTGGCAGCTGTTAGTTGCTGGTAGGAGAGTCCTAGTTCTCTAAGAGTGTAGCTCCCGTTGAGTTGACCACACTCCAGTGGGAGGTCACATCTCCCAAGAAAGCTTGGGCAACACAAATTGGCATATATATATATATATATATATATATATATATATATATATATATAGATTTTAAATTTTTTATTTTTTTTCAA